TTTACTGCTTTTACTGCTAAACACTAAAAATTCACCGAAAAGTCAGTGGGGCTCATAAATGCTTTATTATTGCCACTTAATAAAATGTTGTGCCTTATAAAACGCTTTCGCGCATCAAGCTTCACAAGAACAGCTGCACGCTCCGCGAACGCGCGCTCCTGCTTCATGTGATGCGGCGACGTATTCAACGATAACCAAGGTTCCTGAACTAGGCTAATCAACATCGATATTTTGTTTTAAAGCAATGCAGGCCTCAACCCAAGATTATCATCATGATTTATTTCCTTTTTAGCTGTTGGAACGTGTAGAGTTGGACCTTGGTGAAGAATGCAAACGTCAAGATGCTCTAGCTCAATGGTTAACACCGGAACCCGATCCACGAGAAGGCATAAACGGGTTCGGTTCTGTGAATCCGTCCTCACCAAAGAATACAGAGCATATTTATATCAAAGATTTTTCTCGGTAGCCTGTTTTCATTATTGATTTCCTTCAACACTTCATTCCCACCTAGTTGTATTCTACTTTGTGACTTCAATTAGTATTCGATACTTCTCTTGAACTAGTCAGAATTCGATAGTGTATCGAAATTTTCATTTATTTTTATCGTCTCGGTTTCGAACTTCCTCCAGTGTTGTGTCACTTGAAAGCTAAGCTATATTGGTTCATATTTCTTCAGCACGGGTCTAGACACGAAAAGTACCATGTTTTCAGAAAGTTTATCTAGTAACTATTAGCTGGAATAATTTGAAAGCAATAAGTAGCCGCTTATTAGGAGCTAGTACTGAAGAAATATGCCGGTTATCCCTCCGGCTGGACCCCTAAAACGAAGCTCCTGCTCTGAACTTTACTTCTATGAGGATCACCTACTAGTTCCGAATATTGGATGACCTGAATATATTTGTAATCACTAGTTTTGTTTAGATTTTAAAACTTGCCATGACTACTTACTCCGATCTTACCCTTGCGGGGAATCATATACGCATATTCATGCGATCTTTCTTTGTCTCATGATTTTGAATCATACCAGTGTCTCAGGAGATTCGAATATAAATATTCTATGAACATGTTATCTAGCCATGTGTTACAATGCAACCGTTACAACTTACGATTAACAAGTCCAGCAAATGGTAGATTTTATGGAAAAGAGTTTCTTGTTATGCATCGCGAATGTGAGTGTCAAAAACCGGACCTTTTGAGGACTCCTTCCTCAGGAGAGTTGATTTCTTTACCCTCATTTCACCCCATAGCGCTTTTTACTCGTGACTTTTTTGTCTCGCCCAAAGTGGTGATGCTTCAAAATGTTACTGCAGATCTAAAAAGTCAACATAAAGTGGGATTGAAAAGGAGATTCAGGACAAAAAAAGGCAAATCAAAGGCACTGTTCGCGATAATTCAATGGGCGGGCACATCAATGACGTGTCCGCCCATTGAATCATCGCGAACCGTGCCTTTAAGGAAACCACAAAAGAATTAGAAAGGCTTTTTAGAGGTTTCTTATAGGCCTTTTTTGGGATAAGAACGGCTCACTTTGACGTTTTCTATATGAAATTTCAAAAAGTTGCAAAAATGATTGTAAGGGAATAGATTTGTTACATCAGTAAGGAAATGAAGGTAAAATTAAAGAAGTACGTAGATCACTTGCAATGTTCGGTGCCCTCAAATAGTTGCATAACCAGTTATTAATACGATGTTTATTGTAGGCCCAATTTTAGAAATACTCAGTAATGAGTAAGCCTTTTTTCCATTTAATGTTCACGGGTTTGATGGCTGATCCTTATGCTGTTATGTTTGTTTACAAAGGCTATTACAAACTTCTCGATTGATTTGGCGAAACTGCAATTTTCTGGAATTTTTTGAAATCACTTTAACACCTGTTTTCCATGTGGAGAAACGTTCAAATAATTGGCTTGTCACGATATTGCTCCAATCTGAGTGATTTTGACAGATTAGCTTCCCCATCAGCGAATTTTATTTGTATTTATTTATAGGAGTCTGTCATAGATGACGGTCATCCCAATAGGAGCAACGCTGCTATTGCTTACACTATGTGGAGAGCCACTTCATTGATAAATCTCTGCTATTCACTTGATAGTTGCCTTGAAAAAGCTCCATTGAAGATCATTTAGTTTGAGACAATTGTCAACCATTAAACAATATTTTTCACCCCGCCCATGCACGACGTGCTTTGCGGCCTCTAATAGTACAGGTGTAGGTAGCATAATGTTTGTAATGAATCCTGCTCAAGGAATTCATGCGCGATCGCCACAAAGTTACTGGTATGCAGATTACCAGGTCCACTTTGCACTTGACTAGCAATCAGTTCTACAACTACTATTTATAAATTTGCTTACTATAAGGGCCTCAACGATACTACCGAGTCAGAGAACCGGTTCGTAACCTCGGGCACTTATTATAGGTTGCCCACGGTATAAGGTGAGAGCAAGGCCACGCAAGCGAGTTCACAATTTTCACCTTTTGAATTCCTTGTACTTCTAATTAACTCCTGTGTCACTTAGCATCATGAGGGGAACCGTGAAGTTCATCTTTCGGAGAACTTCTTGCTTATCTTTAGAATCACTTTACCCTTGAAATTCAGACCGAATTTTCGCTGGAAATTGTTTTCCTTCGAATATTGCCTATATTTGGTTCATAGATCACATTCCGATACCTGCCTAGATTATTCAAGCTTCTTCGAAGTGGATTATCCGCTACTATGCTCATTCAAAAAGCAGGTATGAATGTTCTGTTTGATTATTAAGCCTTTTTTATATCCGAGGTGCGTAGCTCGTAGCCACTATTTCATTCAAAAATATTCGATGGAGGGATAAAATGTAAATTCTTTGGTTAGTCCTGCTTCTGGGTTGCGCCACAGCATTCGACTTCCGTTCGGAATCGTATTGGCAGTTTGAAGGCTTGTGTGCTCTGCACAATGACTTGCGGTCTCTAGCTGACGTACTATCCATGCTATTCCCCGAGGAGTCTGGTGCCAGTGAACTGACTCTCGAGGGATGAAAGGCTTGGTCGGGTTAGGTGAGTATGCTTCCGGGATCCGAACCGCGAAACTACGTGTGGTAGTGAACCGCCACTAGCCACTACACCGCTTAGTTCCATTTTTCAATAATTTGAATAAATTTATTCAGAGAATAGTCAACAAGTTACCTTGTTCGTGTTGCTCATTGTTATGTTTTTCGCTGAAACCCGTTGACGAGCAAACTTTGAATATGCACGATCAAATGTGACTCAGCGACAGTGCATGCGTTGTTTACCAGTTCTCATAAAACCAAAAAAGAAAACTTTCACGATATGTTCGCAAACACGATTTCTTCAGCGTTATCTCAACGGTAGGTTGACAACAGATAGGGCTTCCGGACACATTTCAATGAAGTGTCTCCCCTGCTGCCAAGCCCCGATCTGCGCCATCATATCAGTTTATCGGGGGAATCAGCGGCAGTTTGAACTTTGTACTCTCACTGGAAAGATCACTTAACTTCCGGGAGTTTCTGAAGTTAATGGTCGTGAACGTATGGGTGAACCTAACGTGTCTTAGTAGTATATTGTGGGCTACCCGGGCCAAACTTGTCTATTTTATTTTTACATTTCATGTAGTAATCACCCATAAACATTCTCGCTTCTTTTACTTTGCATTTCTCGCATCTTAAAAGGAACATTTCCATCGGAGCGGCACCAACTTAAGAGTTTTCTTTGTAAGTTGATACCATTTTGAACTCATTTACAAAGCAACCTCAACTCGACGGGATTAGCGTAAAAAAGGAAACGTTTGCGTTCAGAAGCGGAATCGCATTTTTATCTGCTCGTTTTACAAGTGATACTGGTTATTACCGAAAATTGTAGAAAGATCAGGAGGCATGAACTTTAGAATTATGGCTTTTAGTAGATCCTGATTTTGGTTATCCCGCTGTTTCGAGTGGAAGCTCCTGATTTGTTTCCACAGCTCACTCCGTGGGCATTGTATGTTCAGCCGTTACTTGTGATACTGCGAATTTCATCTACGATGAATAACAAATAGGAAATTGAAAGCATTGAAACCCACCTTTCCGATGAAACTTTCCTTCACGATTGACCCCGGGAAAAATCCGCATTCCTCGGGAAAAATCTCCAACTTTTACGTTTTATTAATAAATTTCTGTAAAGGTATAGAAGTAAAGGTAAAGGAGTATAACTATTCCTTCAGGGAAATATGTNGCACCAACTTAAGAGTTTTCTTTGTAAGTTGATACCATTTTGAACTCATTTACAAAGCAACCTCAACTCGACGGGATTAGCGTAAAAAAGGAAACGTCTGCGTTCAGAAGCGGAATCGCATTTTTATCTGCTCGTTTTACAAGTGATACTGGTTATTACCGAAAATTGTAGAAAGAACAGAAGGAATGGAAGTTGGAATTATGGCTTTTAGTAAGTTCTGTTTTTGATTATCCTGTTGTGTTTCGGATGGAAACTCCTGATTTGATTTCACAGCTCACTTCGTGGGCATTGTATGCTCAGCCGTTACTTGTGACACTGCGAATTTCATCTACGATGAATAACAAATAGGAAATTGAAAGCATTGAAACCCACTTTTCCGATGAAACTTTCCTTCACGATTGGCCCCGGGAAAAATCCGCATTCCTCGGGAAAAATCTCCAACTTTTACGTTTTATTAATAAATTTCTGAAAAGGTATAGAAGTAAAGGTAAAGGAGTATAACTATTACTTCAGGGAAATATGTGTTCTTGCTTATTTGTTTTATTTAATGGACTTTACTAAGTGTTGTTATAACCAGTAATTGATTCAATATTTATAATAGACATGATTTGAGAAAGTTCCTGCCTCTATGATATACTGAGGAAGCAAAAAAGCAATTGTCGATCCATCGTCTGAACCTTATACTGTTGGGTTTGAGTTTGAAGGCAATCACTGATTTCTGAATCGATTTTGATTGTCCACTGTCGGAATCAACTACGTTGCAAACCACGAGGCAAGCAACGCCGCTCCAGTAAAGTTGAGGCAATGAAACCGCAACTTTCGCAGATTTTCACCTTCACTTCAGCAGCTATCTCTCACCCTGGCAAACGTTCGAAAAATTGTTTGATCACAATATCACTCTAATTTGGGTTCCTTCAACAAGTTCCGACCCCACATAAGCAGTGCTTGCCGCCTTCAATGTTGTCGTGAACAGGAATTCGTTGTCCTATTATTTCTTGGAGGTAGCTTTTCTGCGTATTTGATACAATTCACATTAACACTTCATGTCAAATTTGAAAAACTTAGATTCGGGAGGAAGCGAACTTGGGGTCATAAATGCTTTTTTT